TTTAAATGAAAGCCGAAACAATCTGAAAAATCAAACAATGAGACCTACGTTTTTGAAAAGTGATAATGAAAAAAAGTTGCTTGATGCCAGACAAAATTCAATACAGCCTCGCTGAAAGTTAAACAAGAGGATATATTTGGTTTCTGATTGACCGTTTTGCACTTATTTTTCTTCCGAAGAAACAAAATAGCAACCGAACGTTATCCGTACATAAATGCATAAGAGAATATCTGCCGATTAATCTAGTATTTTCAGGAAACGAAGATCAATCCAGAAACCCAATATCCTTTTCTAACACTATATATTTTCAAGGTGGCTCTGCATGTACACATTAAACGTCAAAAAATGTTCGCGCTTTTTACTACAGCGCATAAAACGAAAAAAAAAAACGGAAGAAACACGAGCTAAATAAAGAAAAAAGCACTAAATATGTTGTGATCATATCAACAAATGTTTCAAATGTTCTAAAATTAACTTGAATAAAGTTGCGAACAAATTCAGAGTTGCAAACGAATCGTTAACGATTCCTGGAATAATCTGAAATTTTTAAAATTTCAAATGACGAGGGAACGAGAGTAATTGTTTTGAGCAAGGAAAGTGCTCTTTCAAATAACATACACAATTTGCATCAGATGAATTTTCGTGAATTTTCCGGGCTATTCAACTGCCAATCGAAGAATCGATAAAAAAAAAATCGATAAAGGTACTTCTTTAATTTCGTAACTGAAAATGCTAAGATTTGAAAAGTAGAAATAATTCTCCGACAGCATAAAGTTTGATAGCTCGACTGAAACAGTTTTCCACGACAAGTTATTGAATTTTGTTTTTGAGCAAGGGCATTGCCCTCCAACAGACAATTCACATTATAAATTGAAACTAGGCCTTGGTAAAACATAGTGCTTAATGCAAGACAAATTAAAATGTTCAGGCTTCAATTGTCTCCCATTAAAACTGAAAACAGAATTTGCTATGATGATTGACATAATCACGTAAATGGTAGTTACTATCACGGTTTGATTTCAACATGCAGCGCCACCTTAAAATACTCTACAAAGGCCATCGCCTAGAAACAGGTTTTCAAACTTAGGAGAGTTGAGGGATTGTACAACAACTTGGAATTTTCCAAAACAAAATACTAGTAAGAAAAACAATACTAGACTTTGACGAAATGCACGTAGTAAAGCATGCAAAGACCGAACCGATAAATTACAAATTAATCCAGTTGAAGATAGCTCGAGCAAAGAAATAAAACTCTCCATAATTTGAAAACATGTACTTAATGATAGCAGAAACCAGTTTGAACCTTTCCACCAAAAATGGCACAGTTAATATACAATCACTACCGAATTTAATTTTTTCGTGCCCCAATGTCACCTCCGATGCAAATATTTCGGCCGAGAAAAAACAAAACGATTTTGAACTCGATGATATCTCTTCTAGATTCAACACTGCCATTTCTTATCGGAGAGATTTCAATTTAACCGAATTCCCAAATGCTATTCTTAACTTTGTCTTCATCCTCCCCGCTTGAATCCTTTTAATCTCCTTGTGTTTTCATGACTCTCCTGTTTTCAGTCGTTTACTCCCTGAAAATAGAGAAGATAAAATATTGCGTAAGGAGCAAACTCAAGTGTGGAAAGAAACGAGTAAACGAAGAGTAAAGATTCACAATGAAGTGTTGATAGACGAGCGCGCATTGACAAGTACAAGATAAAGATTGACAAAAAAATGTTATTTTTATAAAGAAGGCCAAACTCTCGTAGAAAAATTCCGCTGCGAACCTAGCGTCTCGTGTCGTTCCAGAACTAGCTTCTCTCGTAAATTTTACTCTCTTACTATAAAGCATACGGTTGTTCTGAAGTTCAACATTAAATGTAAACCGAGTCCGGCAAGCGGACGTTGTAGTCAGACTTGGAGCCGGTATCTTAGGTTGAAATATTACCTTATAAAGGTAGAATGCAAAGAAATTGAGGCTAACCATTGGCAAAAATGGATGTCAACCGACTTCTCGTCCCCAAACATCGACGCCATTTCTTCTCGTGTAGAAGGGAACAGAACACATTTTACTCCGACGGCAGATACCTCAAAATGACAAACAAGGACCTCAGATCAGCAATAGTCATCATGAATATGGAAAATAACATTAGACCAATCAGCTAAAAGACATGCCACGAATTTTTAATGACAATACCCTTTGCACGCTTTCTCGGGCAAAACGTTGCATTTCCTTTGTTTATATGGAGCTCACGTGAACCCGTATGGACTGAACAAATAACTGAAAAGGTCATTTTTCAAGTATAATAAACCTTTTTTTTTTCAATTCTTGGATGCGTATCTCTCCGGCTAGTGATGAATTTGGTAGCGTTCATTTTAACATTCAAAGACACAAAAACTAATTGACGACAAAATCATTACAATTTTTCTTTCCCACTATCCATTCATCCTCACGCTGCACTAAAACCGCCGTAAGGCCGAAGTACAATTTGTATTCAGGAAAAAATAAAGGCCAAATTAAAAACCAAGGTAGTCTAAATCATTAACAAGGCGGAGTCTCAACGAAAAATCCTTGTTCTAAATTTAGCTATAGCTAGTTGTGTTTCGTGTTTGGCGGCAAATGCGACCTGTGACCACGTGACATTATCGGTGCTTGTCTAACTAGTGCCAGTCCCAGACATAGTCGCGCTTGCGGTGAAATTTGCACACAATTTTGATGATGAAGAAAAATTTCTGCTTTCCCCATCACTCTACCTGTGCATGGAGGGAACTCACCGGAAGTCGAGGGAAACGTGGGGGGATGTGAATAGCGGAACGCACGGAGAACGTGCGATGAAAGCTTTCATAGCTGGTGACGGTTTGTTCTGAGCCAGAATAGAAACATTAGAAAACTCAGGTTTTCGATCAGACGTACATCTTTATAAAATTTGTTTATTAGGTCCATTGTTGCCCTTTTTTACAAAGATTCGAGTTTATTTTGCTCTCGTTTGCACAAGCTGATCCACTCATTTTAGCGTATGCATATTGATTACCAGCTCAAAAGAAACGGGGACTGACGAGACGAAGGGAATGCTAGATGGGAACTTTACGGTAAGCCAGGTTTGATCGCTTATTTCTTGAAGTGTTTTTATTACTAAATAAGTTGAAGTAAAAAGGAAATATAAAAAATGTCAGTGTGAAACAAAAACAATATGAGTTTGACACGAGCATGGAATAAAGAAGAAAAAATTAGTTCCACGATCTGATGCGCATCTGAACTTTGCTTGGGTGCTTTTACTTCATGAAATGACAAAAACCACCTGGATACGGAGGATTCATAATGAACTTGGCCATTTACTGGGTTCATATTTACTGGGTTCAAAGGTTCTTTGAGCTATTGGCGGG